ATTTTGAATCCAGAGAGGTATTTAGACTTCTATATTTTAGTTGTGCAGCAGGCGCAATGCTGTGATATGAATAATTGATCACAAGAAGACACTTAAATGCCGTTCAGGGTAATGGGTGAAGGGGGAAGGAAAGATTTTGTGCTGCAAGATTGTGAGTTGAGTAAAGGAGATTTTTTTTAAATCCAGGTTCCAGTTAGTTTGAATAACCTCAGGCAAAGGTTTCCAATATCTATGGCCAACATATTTATCCCCTGAGCTTATTGTCAGAACATGCTGTTATTACCTCTGCCAAGGAGTTGGTGCTCAGTTTGGTTTTGTCTCCAGGAAACACAAACAGCCCAATTTTTAAGCTGGTAGAGCGGTGCAGCATGCGAGCTGATTAAAATAATGGGCGGATCGAATGTTGTACTTGGAAATGGCCTTGGCAGATGCCTGTAGTCCCTTAGTGTACTTGCTTATTGCTTATAGTGTAGTTGCTTATATACTGAAACGAGTCATGCCGCCGTTTTTTCCTTGGAAAAACATTTACATTGATTTTATATACTCAAACTCTTTCTGGCCTCCCAGTTTTAAAAATAACTACATTACAGGTCATTCATGTGGTCATTCTAGAAGTGGACCTCATATTAAAAGCTATTTATATCATGGCACAAGCCTGGAGTATATTTGGAGTAAGTGATCTTACCTTCAACCACGTAAGCACAAAGCACCTGGCCTGGTTGTGTGCCTCTCAATGTGGGATTGTTTGGTTCTGGACCAGCTGAAATAAAGCTTTGCATAATAGGGGTTTGCTGTGCCACTATATTTGGCAGTATGATAATGTATAATAAGAATACATGAAAAATTCTATTGGAAAAATCCAATTAACGAAATACGCTGATATTGAACACAATTGAAGGGTTGACTGTAATGCAGGAAGGGCTGATTTAGCATCCATCATGTTCATTGAGGAGAGCGCGGCACCCTTTAAACTTCACTGGGAGGCCGTCTTCCATCTTTCTCCCCATTAAGAGCCGTCTTGACCAATCTTGTACCTGCCGTGTTTCCAGCAATGAAGCGTAACAGGTTGTGCCTGCAGAGCTGAACATGGATTGCTTTGTGTCTGTTGTAGGGTTAATCCCTCGGGTTCAGTTACTCATTAGTGAACTTTTGAGCAAGGAATACCGTATAAATGTCTAAGCATAACCATGTAACCTACAACGCCTCTGCGCACTTACGTGCTTAAGTGTGTCCGTACGTCTAGTCCACACCCGTGAAGAGGCAAACAACTGTGAGATTGCAGCATTCATCACATTTTCCTCCAAATTATTTTTTAAATACAAAACAGTACAACATGAATTCATTTTCATCTCAAGGTTTATTTGCCTGTTCTCTTTAACTTTGACCTTTTCTTTTTTGCTCGAAGTGTGTTAAATCCTGACTCAGCCTGGATTCTGAGGCCCTCTAAAGATAGATGCACTGGTCTGAGGATTTTACGCTGGTCATATTATTCTTATTATTATATAAGTGCTCCACTAACCTCACTAGAACTCAAGAGGCCAACGGGTTTACTAGTAAACAAATGTTTCCAAAGTGAGTACAGACAGATAAAAGACAAACTGATTACTAATGAGAGGCTGAGCGGTGGAATTGTTACTGGTACCGGAGCACGGTGGAACCCAAAAGCAGGGGTGGAAGTAACGAATTACAAATACTCACGTTACTGTAATTAAGTCGATTTTTTGGGTACTCTACTTTTAGGAGTATTTTCTGCTGCCTTTTCCGTTTATTTCTTGCAAGGAAGAAGAGGACTACAACAGCTGTACATTGACAGGCAGCAGCAAGCTTCTTCTTGATGTTTGAGAGCAACACAGATATATTTATACATTGATGTATAAATATGTTTGATGTTTGATTAGATTTAGGACTAGGACTGCAGACAATCACACCTTCTCCTTCTTTAGACATTAATCTAAGAAAACATTATGGCATCATTATATTTTGCCATTACATTATTCCTTCAATTTTACTCATCTACTGATAATGATATCTATTGTTCAACTGTATCTTCTTTCTTTTTTACAATCAGAATAACTGGTAATCCTTGAGTGGACACATGATTTCATGAGGCACAAAAACGATTTATTTCCAAAACTAAAGTAACACTTAATAACATGGTTCTGCAGAACCATGTTATTAACCCAGCAGAGGCAGGGCTGGACGCAGCATCGGAGGGGCTGCAGGAAAAGAGGTGGAGAGAGGGAAGGATTAAAGGACGTGATGATGGCCAAGAGAAGAAAGAGGGTGACAAGAGACAGATGAAATCCATTATACCGAAAGAGAGGAAAAAGGGGAGGAGGGGGAGGTCGATGATGAAAGTAAAGTGCAAGCAGCAAAATTGATAAGAGCCAAATAGATAAGGGACAGTGAGCGAGACATCAACGCCAGAGGAGTGATGAAAGATGCTGTGCTGTGGAGAAAAGTTTGTACAGCAGAGTTATGACAGAGAAGGGCAAAATATAAAGCATAATTATGTATAATAAGTCACATCCACCTACTTCATCCTCATTGTCCGCTGGCGAAACCGTGCGTCATCGTGCCGATGATGATCGTCGGGATTTACATACCTTCAGTTCAGAGAGCGCCATGAGTGCGTTTCCCTTTTTTACTTGTTATCACTTGGCTCCAAGAAGGGAGTCAAGAGCCTGACTTTGAGTGGTGACTGGGTCTTTTTAGTTCACAACGCACCAAACAGCCACCCCGTAATAACAGTATGTAGGCTACACTGGTTGCCATGGAGTCTCCCGGGGTGACTAGCAGAGAATAGAACACGGCTTCCCTAATTAGAGGAGACTGTGCATAATTAGACGGCCGCGCAATCCAAAAGACGAGAGCTCACATGCAGACCCCCCCCCACACACACACACAGACACAATAACACACAGTTCAGGTGAGATGCTGCAGGTCAAAGGTAACTGTAGGCGGACAGCGAATGTCATCCATGTCAATTTCAGTTTGAATGAACCAAATATCACAAATCCCACATTTGCCTCAGGGGGGCTTAAATCTGTTCAGTGTACGGCACAATCTGTCCTTGAAGAAAACTGGCTGCGGGTAAGGAAGGACTCCAAACAAACCCACTTTAACAAAGAATAAATTGGAAGAAGTCTGAGGAAGAGCAAACGAGGAGGAATCTCCCCCCTGGACAGACAGACGTGCAGTGGATGTGTGCACAGAAGAGATCAATGTAATAGAATCCACACGACAAAAACGACACAGACACTGTGTGGATATATGAAAGCTATAGAAAAATGTAGACTGAGGCACAGCAGACAGAGAAAGAGAGAAAGTGAGAAAGAGCAATCGATCCAGGGACAGCTGACAGTGCAGCAAGGGTCTTAAACTGACCATTAGGGGGGCGTCTCCTCTGGTTGCAGAAAGGAGTCCGATTGTATAAAAGTCTATGCGGAAATTACTAATATTGATGACATTTTAGACTGACAACCGCTGGAATGTTAGCGTAATTTTCATTCTACATGCAATTAAAATGTCACTTGGGATTTCTTTTGTATTGTCAATTTGGTCCTTTTTGCAAAGATGTGGGTGTACTGCTCAAAAAAATTAAAAGAGGACTTTGAAAACACATTGGATCCCAGAGTGAAATATTTATACCGGATATCTATACTGACATTTTAATGTGTTAGGAACAATAGGATACCACATCTTTTGATGAAAATAAAAGTTTCAGTCTAGCAGAGAGTTTAATTTTATGGACACCCCGAACATTGAAGTGAAAAAATGATGTGGCGGGCGAATCCATTTAGCAAAAATTCAATTCCTGCAACTCAAAATGCTTCTCAATATCTTGTGTGGCCCTCACGTCCTTGTATGCATGATTGACCAGCCGGCTTAGCTCGGGCATTGTAGCTAACGGTGCAAACAGCGCAAACAACGATAACGGTGCCGACAGAGGTAGCATTGTTTGGCCGGTGGTGGGACGGAGGGTGGCGCCACGCTTCTGTTGAGTCGGGTCGGTTTTATCATCCGCAAACAGCCAACGAGGGGCACCCATCAGCTAGCCAGGAGCTGATGACAGACAGCGATCTGACGAAGCTTCCTGACTGCGGCTGTGAAAAAGTGATATCTGTGGTTTGGTGAAAAAATCCAAATGAGGCTAAATGGAGGGAAACAAGCAATAACAAGTTGCTTTGCGTAGATGGCTCATTACAGCACCAATCTTAAATGTATAAGTGTGGTCGTTTCCAATCACAGCAGCAGTGCTCTGCTCAACCCACTAAGCTGACGGGAAAACGATTTTTGAGTTGCCGTGTCCTCTCCGCCTCTCCACGCCGATGGCACTGCGACACTATCTACTTTATGTACAACAGTAATATTTGATTTAACGTTGTAACCGCGGAAGTGTGTGTCAACAACACACTAGTGTTGAGCTGCATTCCGAGTGACAGATTTATTATCGCTTTATTCTTCACAGTTTCAGTCACAGCTCTGATCTGTCTGGATGACTGAGGCACTTACCATCTCCCCCTCTTCCTCCCTCCCCCTATTTGTCTCTCAGTTACTCTCTCTCTTCTTTATATATTTATCTTCAGATTTAAGATGCCACGACTTGGTGGTGTGCTAATGCGCTTGAATTCATAGCACTGCTACGTCCTCTCCTCCCATCTCTTCCCTTGTCCTCTCCTCCCATGTTTGCTCGCTTAGCACTTTTCTTTTGCCTTCCCTGTATATTCCAATGCCAATGCACAGGTGACGTTTGCAGTCACCTTGGGAAAAAAGTTTTGAGGAGCCAACTGTACGTTTGTCAGCCCTCAGGGCATACATAATTCAAAGGCAAAGTTATTTGGAAGACTGTGAGACAGATACCAGACATGACAGCTGGACCATAACAGCATCCCTGTCTGCGGTTGTTGGTGTATGCTGTGCATTCTGCATTCGCACGAGAACAAGCTCTTTAAAAGCGGCTAATATAAAGCGGGACTCTCTTGTGTGTGTCTGTGCAGATGGAAAGGTGTACGCGTTTGGAGGCATGGGAGCCGACACAACGCCACAGGCCCTGGTGAGGGTTTACGACGCAGAGAAGGACCAATGGCAGCCTGTGACGTCCATGCCCACGCCGCGGTACGGAGCCGTGCCCTTTGTACGAGGAAACAAAATCTACATGATGGGTGAGGATCGGATCATGATTCAATGCTACTCAAAGGATTCTTCCTTCGGCTTCCAGTTAAGGCTGTCATGATTGTCGTTCACCAAAATAGAATCAAAACACACTGAGTTAGGAAGCCATGTGGGTAATGGATGGACACAGCACACACACACACACACACACACGATTTATCGCAGCTCCAGGGACTGCTAATCGGCACACAGATGAAAAAAGGCAGTCAATGCTGATCAAAAATCGTATGCAGAGGTAGGATTGGCAAATGTGGGATTATACCGTGTATCCCGGCACCGGTCTGCATTTGCACATTCAGATATGGAATTTGCTCAGAGACAAATGCCACACAACTGACAGTGTCTAAAACTAATTTATTGCATTTAATTACATGCAATTGAGGATAAAGAAAGTCTCGTAGCACCAATGCTTGCAGTCTCTCAGGTGTGTTTTGAACCCAATGCTAATGCTAGCGTGTGTGCATTAATTCAGTGTTCAGGGGTGCCCGATAGGTGGATCGCGAAGGCAGTGCCAGTAGATTGCCGATCCCCCCTAATTCTAATTAGTGATCCTCTCCTCTCCTAATGTACGCATTTAATTTCATTCTAAAGCAACCCAGGCTGACTCCAATCAGTGCAAGTCGTCCAGTAAGGTAATGAACAGGAATGTGTGAGATAGTTCCCTCCTTCTGACAGACGAGAGGCTCCTTCTTTTCTTCGTAACGACTCGTTTTGCGCAGACGGCATGCAAACATTACAAAGAATGTTTGCGTCTTCATTGAGGTATTTATGTGCTTTCTCATAGTTCGACCTGAGCGCATCGAGCGACCTCACAAAGAACCCTATACACAATAAACTGCACATATCGCACCCATTTATCTGTGGATTTTCAGTACCTGTGTACACTGAACATTTATATTATAATCAACTCATCCTTTAGCTCCAAAATTGTTTTCTCAAGCCTCACCGGCTCTGATGCTTCCCACTCAGTTTGACTCTTTGTCTCGCTGTCACTATCGATCTCCGTGCCCCCCGGCCCACTCTAGATGACCCTCTTCCACTCTTCTCTCACTCCTCCGCATTCTCCTCTCTTCCCTGTATTACTTTCACACAATTTCTCTGGCATTATTGTCTAATTTTCCACTCCTGCACATCAATCCGCCTCGTTCACAGTCCGTCTCTGCACCCCCCCTCCACCCTCCACCCTTTTCTGTTCTTATTTTGACCCTCCACAGCCCCCCACCCCTCCCCTCCCCCCGTCCAGCACTTCGCCACAGCCCCCCCGCCCCGCCCCTTTCACCATCATTCACATTCTCGGCAGCCCGCTCTGTGCTCTGTCGCCTCCCACCGCTCCGCTTTCCCTCTGCTGTTATATCTTACAAGGTCATGTTATGATTCCTGAAAGTAAACAATTGTAGGCGTCCCAGGGGAGCGCCCCCCCCCCCCCCCCCCCCCTCCCCTCCCCGCTGCTGTCCTCTGCTTTCAGTCTGAGATGAAATGTGGTCCCAGCGCTGGCCTGTGCGCTTGCTAGATTTTGACGTAAATGCCAAGGAAACTTTTTCACAGCGGTAGGGGATTAAAAGTAATGAAAAGAAAGCAGGACATAAGAAACAGGGACAAACCTTGTCTAGTTTCCGGCTGTGCTCATATAAATGCTAATATTCCCGGGGATGTATTACATATAGACGACGCAGATTGATGGTCATATAGAAGCTATTTGTTGGTGATGATGTCGAAGGTTCATTTCCCGACAAAGTTATCATCACCGTACCGATGGGTTGTGCCCCAGAGTTTGAATCTCCCGTTTGCTCGTCCAGGCGGTCGTCAGGGGAAGATGCCGGTGACGGCGCTGGAGGCCTTCGACCTGGAGACGAAGAGCTGGACCCGTTACTCCTGCATCCCGAGCCGGAGGGCCTTTTCCTGCTGCGCCACCAACGAGCGAAGCCTCTTCAGCCTGGGGGGGCTCCAGCAGCCGGGGCCGCACAACTTCTACTCCAGACCTCACTTTGTCAGCACCATGGAGGAGTACGATCTGGATCAAGGTAAGCTGCCGCTCCAGTATTCACTTCCAACGCAGGACTCAAACCCGGAGCTTTGGTGGGGGGGGGGTTCTCTCCTGTGAATGGGGGTCAGAGTCCTAAGTTTACCGCTGATGGTACCAAACATACAGCAGGACTGACTGTACAGTCAACAGTATGCGTTGTACATCGAATAGAATAATGGCCATAAAACGAAAGGTCATCTTTGAGATTATTGTTTTATTGTAATGCGCTTTACAGGACAACAAATCTGACTTTAAAGTAATTACTTTTTTGTTGTGATGGAAATTGATTCAAATGATCTACTATCTACTAAATTATCTACTACTCTACAAACAGATACATGAATTAATATATTGTCGCCAAAGCCAACATAGGCATTGAATAAATTACCTTCTCTTCTTCATACTGTCTGTTAATTCCCAGGACAGAGACGAAACAACACTATGCATCCTCGCAAAAACAAACGATGCTCATAAAACAGGAAAATTATGCATGGGCTCAGTCAGATCACATTATAGCTGATGGTGATGCTGAGCAAAAAAGTCCTTCCGTGCACCAGAAGCGGACGCCTTTGGCTGACGAGTCACATCAAATGTTTTTCTGCATAATTTCTGCTGTATATTCCTGAACCTTGAAGAGTAAGCACCCAAAACCCAGTGAATTGTTGGGAAATATTATTTGGTACTTTTGCTGTAAATCACATTCTTTGTTGATTAGAGAAGTGGTCTCCTACCTTCTTTGCTTCACCGACCGGTTTCATGTTCGACAACATTCCGCGGACTGGTCTTGAAGATGTGGCGGATAAACAAACTGTTTTGTTTAACAGTGAGTTCAAGGTATCAGCATAATGTAGCATGTTTGATTGTATAGGAGTGTTCTCTTAATGCAATTTATGTCCACAAAATGATAGGAATGAGATTAGATAGTTAGTGTGACAGATGGTAAGTCAGACTGCTTTCATTGGACAACTCCTAATGGTCCATTCACACACGGCAAACCTTTGATCCTCAGTCAAAAGCTAGAGATTGTACCGCGTCAAGCTCACCAAAGGCTAATCCAGAGCTTCTGCAACCAAAGGCATCCATCTATCTACTTTCCCCAGTTTTATCCGGGGTCGGGTCGCAGGCGCCCAGAAACAAAAATTCCCACAATTTGATTGATGCCATGGCCAAAGGTTCATAGAATGCGTCTCTGTTTCCTGTTGAACTAATATGTTCATCTGCTGTGCATAACACACAGTGCAATACAGTAGAGCACCAGAAACATTGTACTCTAAAATGACATGTCATGTGTCTCCCGTAGCCAGTTACCTTGTAAAGAGGTCTACACACTAAATCATGGCGTTGGAGGACGAGCTCTCCCATGAATAACAATGCTATATATTTAGAATGTGTGGGCATGCAGCAAAATACTGCGTGTAAGTGTGAAGGTATTTATGAAGGATGAATGAAAAACACGGCCCGTTAGCTGTAGCTTTCAGCCCGATATTTTAAGGCCTGGTGTGAAGTGCAGTGAAGTGTGCTATGCCCAAGGCACTCTTTTAATAATTCCCCAACCAGAGGCACCTGATGCGACCAGATACGGGGCAGGATCAGAAAGAATACCTGATCACACGTCGCGGTGGGTGCGTGGGGGCTGTTACAATCATGGCCAACCCCGCTCACTGCTTTCATCCTCGGAGATGTCATCCTGACAGTTTCAGAACCCTCTGGGGAATTTCCTCAAAAAGAGAAACCTTTTCCCTCATACTCCTTGTCCAGACAATCAGGGTTACCAGATGATATATCTATTGCTATATATGTTTGGTGCTAATGAGTAAATGGTAGCATGCTTACACGCTTGATGGTGTAAAATGTTTGCATTTAGTAGTGTGTCACATAGAGAACAGCTTGACTGTGGTGTCTTTAGTATTTTATACACTGAGGGCATTTTTCTTTTTGTGTCAATTTTCACCTAAATATAAATATTTTTTACAGTTTTTTTATTTTATTTTTTGTACTTTTATGTGGATGTGAATATTACACTGTTGTGACTCAAAAAGGATCTTTATAGTTGGTTAGCTGCTTGCGCAAAACAGTTTGCACTAATCTAAAAAAAAAAAGTGTTCTCCCCCTTGGTGTAAAGGCCTAAAGTCTGGCTGTTTATTATAGTAAAGTCTTGAAAAAGTAAGCTCCACCCACACACACACAACCACACACACACAAAGTGTTGGTGCCAGAGGAAAGAGGACAATTAGATATTCTACAAATGATGATTGTTGGATGAGAAGATTAAACCAAAAAGAAGCTATTAGGCACCCACCTATTTTGTGTATGTATGTATATGTGTGTGTGTGTGTGTGTGTGTGTGCGTGTGTGAATGTGAATGTTTGTGTACACCTTTTGTTCAAACAGGGAAGCGTTTCAGGTATGTGGATCTGTTGTTTGCTCTTTCATAATGAGATCTCTCCCTCTCTCAAGGCGTGTAGGGTGTTTTCTGTGGAAAATCAAGCCTAAGTCTAACCTCCAGTCATATCAACAGCATCTTTTGTGACCCCCCCCCCCCCCCCCCCTTTGTGAATCAGTCAGGTTTAATGGGATTGGCTCAACGATGAGGTCTCTCTGTGGAGCCAAAAAGCCGACAGGCAAGGGAACGCAGCACTGTGGCTGTGCGCTTCACTATCGTTGTATGGCTGGTGTGTATCCGTGATAACAAAGCAAGTTACCTATTTCCTACAATGTCATCGGGGATATCTCAGCTCGGGCTTCAGGATTTGTAACAAATTCCTCATAAAAGTCTGCCTTTCAAACGAGATGCTCTAGAGACTCTTGAATAGAATGGGAGATCCTTACAGCAGCATGACACCACTTATCTTTCCTTAAATGTGCTTTACTTGATCAACTTGGCCTCCTGTAGGCAATACAACAATCTTGAAACACAAGATGAACATATTGTCAGCTTATAAAGTTCTCATGGCAGGAAGGAAAAGCCTTAGGAAGAAGAGTCTCCCGAGTGGTCCATTCTTAACAGTAGAAACATTATTGCTGTGAGCGTATGCAGCTTTTTCCCTGCTAGTGACAAAGAAATATGTACAAGGAAGAAGGCTTTAAAAGTTTTAATCAAAATCCACGAGCGTGTTAACAGTAGGGAACAGAAAATGACGTTAGACTAAGTAATATGGTTGGAACCAAGAACAATGTCAAATAAACATCTCGCAGTATGGACTTCATGTGTTTACCAAACCAGAGGTTCATATTCAGAGGAATATGATACGGAGCAAGAGCATAGAAACAAGCATAAAAAATATACAATAAGCAGTAAAAACCTCCGAAAGTAGATTTAGTAATGGGTTGGTTTGATTTAGTGACACAATGGATTGTGTAATTAAATGTTTCCAGAGGACAATCAGACGCTGGAATGTGAGCAGTGCTGCTCTGCGATGATGCTCTTTAATAGAGGTTACGACACTGTGGGCCTCTCGCTAATGCCGAGCAGGTTCATAACCTGTTCGTTTCTGAGCAGCCGGAACGTTTTCATTGAAGTGATTTGCATTTGCAAGTGTTTCCAACATCAGCTCACAGCGCTGATGGGAAGTAGAGCAGCACACGGGGTTAATGGCCGTACGGTGCTAAAAGAAGGTAAAGAAGCTGCAGCATCTGAGGCAGAGCGGTTCAGTGGCAACACCACTTACGTGCAAACAGCGTCGCTTTGGGTGATTGAAAACATCGGGAAGGAAATGTGAGAAAGGGATGTTTTACGTGGGTCACTATCTCCACTTTGTTTTGACAGACGATTTCCGGGGCTTTCATCCATTTTCCATTAGAGGAGGAAGGTGCCACCGTGGTATCGGAGATGGATGGTGTTATTACGTAATCAATGAAGAGGTAGTTAATAAGTTTGGGTATATTGTTCAGCCCAATGTAGACAAATGCTTTTCAATTTGGTTGTCCTTCTTACTTTTTTAAATCTGAGCTGGTGATTCCAATTCATCTTCTTTTTAACAACTACATAATGACAGCAAAGTCCCAAATTCAGGGTAAACCTTCATAAATTCTTAATGTAGGTTCCGAAAGGAGAAGCAGAGCGTAAACGTTAAGTTGACGCGTGTTTGTAGTCATATACTTGTAGCTCACACCAACTTCATTCCATTTGTGAAAGCAAAATGTCCTTTATTAATCCAAAGTTCTTGAATTACAGCTTCCCTTCTTCCCACGAGTATCGCCGTTCCACAGAATAATCCAATTTCTTAGTAATATTGTGAAAAAATAACACGCTCAAAAAACTGTCCGGCTTACTGTTCCTACTCACTGCCAACTACCTGTCGTCATGTGTTTATCAAATATAATACAAATTTGGCTCATACCCTTAATATTATTGTCTTAGTTTGTTGTTGTCGTGTATGTTGATTATTTGACTTAAACATGCAACACAAATAGTTATGAAATGTTTTTTTTTATTTAATTACTTAAATAAATTATATTAATTTAATGGCAATGTTTTGCAAGCTGCTCAGAGTTGGTTGGGAAGTTAAACATCACACCAACATAATATCTTCTCTAGTATCTACTTTATATCAATGTGAAGACATCTCCTTCAAAGCGTTGTGTTTATTAATTTATGAATGTCGAGATAGAACGGGAGCAGCATGAATAAAGCGGAAATGTGGGAGCCAGCATTACAAATTCAATTTATTTTAGAGTGAGAAGTGGATGATTTAAGATGACTGAATATGTTTCACAAAATATATGACACACAAAATGACAAAATGACATTCAAAACCTCAGGTATGTTTCTTAAAAAAAGTTCTACCGCAGCGGCCTGATGTGTGCAGACGTGTGGGTGTGAAACAGTGGAGCCTGGTGTTCCTTTCAGACCGTTATGAGATGACGAGGACAGCAGCTGCTGTCGTGGGATTTTCCGAATTTCCTTCTTTAACAGGTTATTTTCAGAGCCGTCTTGGATGGATTAGCTTTAATACCAAGTAATAAAAAATGTCATTTCTTAAAGGACTAACAAGTAAA